CCGCAGTCGACTACGTGGGAGTCCAGCGACATAGCCATTACGCTAACTGCTGGTTCCCTAGAGCTCTCTTCTGAGATTTGCTAACACATCTGGACCACATCCTTAGCCTCATCTTGACTTTTTGACTAGGACAGGGGCCCCAACGTTTCAAGCCAGGAGTTATCCTGTTGTTCCATGAGTCCAGTCAAGCATTGTAAGCCAAGGACAAGTGCAGGATTCCAAATATACTTTTTTTAAAAGAATTATTTTATTTAACTTTATTTATTTTAATTTGACTAGAGTAGGGGAGAGAGAGAGAGAGAGAAAGTGACAAAGCAAACTGCCAGGTCCAGGACTTGAACCACAGAAAGCCATGTGGGAGACCAGTGCCTTTAACTAGCACCTGCTGGCCCCTCTTGTCTTTTATTTTAAAGAATTATTTTATTTTATTGTATTCATCATCATCATTATTATTTTTTCACTTTGACCACAGATACAGTGAGAAAGAGAGAGAGAGGGAAAGCAAACCACAAAGTCCAGGATTTGAACTGTGGTCGGCCATGTGGGAGTCTGGTGCCTTAACCACCATGCCATTTGCTGGTCCCTCATTTTTATTTTTTTAAGAACTATTTATTTTGGGGCTGGCAAGTGGCATGGTGGTTAAAGGCACTGGATTCCCACATGGGTAACCTTGTTTCGAGTCCTGGACCTGGTGGCTTTCTTTCTCACTTTCCCTAAACAGTGTGTACTGATTACCACCAAGCACTCAGAGACCAGTGAGTGTGCTGTGGGCCTAAGAGTGAGGGACTTGATGGAGGCTGCAGTGAGGAGGATTTAACTATGTGAAGAAAAGGTTGTGGGAAAAGAGAGCAGGTATTTCAGGCAGGGGGAACAACATGACCAAAAGCACAGATATAAGAGTAAGTTGGGGGAACCAGCAGTTAGCGTAATGGCTATGTCGCTGGACTCCCACATAGTTGACCGCGGTTTACGTCCCAGGCCCGGTGGCTTAAAACTCACGCCGGGCGCATGTGCATGTGTGTCCAAGTTCCCGAGAGGAGAATGGAGGAGAAGGGATTGCGGTGTGACCATCTCCCCTGGGGGGTGATTTCTCTCTGTCTCTATGTCTCTCTCTGTGTATCTGGTGAGCGCATGCGCCCTATAGTGAAAACCTCTCCAAAAAAAAGATAGTAAGTTGGGAACAGCAGGTGGCATAATGGTTACGTCGCTAGACTCCCACGGGGTCGACCATGGTTCAAGTCCTGGACCCAGTGGCATAACACTCAGGCTGGGCACGTGTGCGTATGTGCCCAAAATCCTGAGAAGGGAATGAAAGAAAAGGGACTGTGGTATGGCCATCCCCCCTGGGGATGCTTTGTCATCTCTCAGTGCTCCATCTCTCTATAGTAAGCACACATGCCCTACAGAATTATTTTTTTAAAAGAATTATTTATTTATTTAATTCCATTTGTTGTTACTATTTTTCAATTTGACCAGATAGGCATAGAGAGAGAAAGGGAAAGCGAGAAAGCAAGCCACCAGGTCTGGGACTTGAACCATGGTTGACCATGTGGGAATCCAGTGCCTTTAACCACCACACCACCTACCAGCCCCAGAAATTTTTTTTTTAAGAGGCTTGTGGGAGAAGAAGGAGCAAATTATGTTGAGAAGCATCAGGGGATAGAAAGACAGGTTGGTCAAGGCATCGAGGGCCAGATATGTACTGTTTCTCAGAGAAACGTGAAGGAACAGGGCTGAAAGCCCAGCCTCACTGCCTTCCTTCTGGACACGAGGTCCAGAAGCTAGACAGGCAGGTGACCTCTGCCACCTTCTCCCAGGACAATGACCGGGGTGAGGAGTGGGAGCGGCATGAAGCACTGCATGAGGACGTGACCGGGCAGGAGCGGACCACGGAGCGGCTCTTTGAGGAGGAGATCGAGCTTAAATGGGAGAAGGGCGGTTCTGGCCTGGTGTTCTACACGGATGCCCAGTTCTGGCAGGAGGAAGAAGGAGGTAATGCCGGCAGCCAGACAAGGGCAGAGTGATCCCTGCTGCGTTCTCTTGGGGTTTTCTGTTCCACATGATGGATTTCCTGGCAGTGAGCCCAGACAAAGAACCAGGGAGCAGGCTTATGTTTATTGTGTCTAAGGGACCAGTTATCCTTTCTGGGAGTGGGGCACCAGTAGAATGGAGAGAATGACCCCCCAGGGGAGATATTTAAAAATACAAACAAGGCCAGCTGGTGGCATGGTGGTTAGGAGGGTGGATCCTAACATGGCTGACCTCGTGGTTCAAGTCCAGACTGGTGACTTGAGAAACACACTGGGTGTGTGTGCATACATGCCCAAAATCTCAAGAGGAGAATGCAGAGAGGATTGCAGCATGGTAAACCCCCTTCCCTTTCTCTCTCTTTATCTCAGGCAAATGTATGTGCCTCTAGCAAAAAAAAAATTTTAAATACAAAGTTTTAGAACTTGTGTCTGACTCTAGGTTTACCTCAGCAGAGCTGAGGGTCCTTAACCCACTCTTCCGGATGCTTTTATATCTCGCAGACTTTGATGAACAGACCTCTGACGACTGGGATGTGGACATGAGCGTGTACTATGACAGAGGTACTGAGCAAGGGTGACACTCCTGGGAGGTGGAACTGGCACTCTGGCTTTCAGTGAAACATGGCCAGATGTGCTTAGGAGAGGCCAAGGCAGGGAATTGGTTCCCTTGAGGTAGCCCACTCAGAAGGTTCTCTCTTAGAACATCTCTAGTTGAATACATTAAGTGCTAGTTGTGCCCAGAGCCTTTTTCCTTTCTTTGTGGAGGAGGAAGACTACGTAGGGACAACCTTAGAAAGCTCTAGATCTTGGGGCCGGCAGGTGGTGTGGTGGTTAGGACGGCTGGACCCCTGCATGGCTGACTGTGGTTCGAGTCCTGAACCTGCAGCTTGCTTTCTCACTTTCCTTCTCTCTGTCTCTCTCTCTCTCTCTCTCTGGCTCTCTTTGTTCAACTTCAGAAAATAAAAATAAAAAAATAAAAATAATGACAATGAATAAAATGAAATAAAACAATTATTCTAAAAAAAAAAAAAAAGAAGAAGAAAGCTCTGGGGACTAGCAGTTAGCATAATGGCTATGTCGCTGGACTCCCACGTAGCCGACCGCGGTTCGCATCCCGGACCAAGTGGCTTAAAACTCACGCTGGGCACGGGTGTGTGCGTGCCCAAGATCCCGAGAGGAGAATGGAAGAGAAGGGATTGCGGCGTGGCCATCCCCCCTGGGGGGGGATTTCTCGCTTTCTGTCTCTCTGTCTCGCTCTGTCTGTCGGGCAAGCGCATGCCCCCTATAGCAAAACCCTCTCAAAAAAAAAAAAAGAAAGCAAGCAAGCTCTGGATCTCATGGGCAGGCCTTGGTAGTAGATGATCAAGAGTACAGGCTCTAGGGACCAGCAGTTAGCTTAATGGTTATGTTGCTGGACTCCCATGTAGTCAACTGCAGTTCGAGTCCCGGGCCCAGTGGCTTAAACTCATACCAGGCGTGTGTGTGTGCGTGTGTGTGTGCCCAAGATCCCAAGAGGAGAATGGAGGAGAAGGGATTGCGGCAGGGCCATCCCCCCTGGGGGGGTGATTTCTCACTTTCTGTCTCTATGTCTCTCTCTGTCTTTCTGGCGAGTGCATGTGCTCTATAGCAAAAACCTCTCCAGAAAAAAAAAAAAAAAAGGAGTACGGGCTCTGGTAAGAGGTGGATTCTGGGGCCAGCTCCATAGCCTAGTGGTTAAGTGAGGCATATAGCACCTGGCCAACCAGAGTTTGAATCCCAGCCACTTGAAAAACACACTGCTTGTGCATGTGTGCCCCAAAACCTGACAGGATGGAGAAATGGAGAAGGGATTGCAACAAGATCATATCCCATTGGGGAATGGTTTCCTCCTCCTCTCTGGCGGGTACACACACCCTCTAATAATTTTTAAATAAATAAATAGATTTTGGAGTAAAAACTGACTGGGCAGGGAGGACAACCAGTTATGTGATGGTTAAGGCAGTTGGATCCCACATGGCCAACTGTAGTTTGAATTCTGGACCTGGCAGCTAAATCAATGCCAGGTGTATGTGTATGTGTGCCCAAAATTCTGAGGGGAATGGAGGAGAAGGGACTATGGTATATCCATCTCTTCAGGGGGGGGTGCTTTCGTACTTTCTTTCTCTCTCCTGTGAGCACATGCATCCTGTGGCAAATTAAAATTTTAAAAAAGAGAGAAAAAGAAAAAGACCTGGGTTCTAATCCCATCTCTGTTATTTGTTGGCTCTGGGATTTCTGTGTGTCATAATTTCCTCATCTGTGAGATGGAGAGCTATGGTTCCTACTCTTGGCAAGTTCCCAGAGATAAGATAATAGGACACATGTAAACAAATAAGTAAATCTCGTGAGGGGGTCCTGGAAACCAGATGTTCTTACTTCTGCTGAGATGGACCCTCCCTCCTGCAAACTGGGTTCTGGTTCCTCAGGTGGTGGAGACAAAGACGCCCGAGACTCTGTCCAGATGCGCTTGGAACAGAGACTCCGTGATGGCCAAGAAGATGGCTCAGTGATAGAACACCAGGTGGGCACCTTTGAGCGCCACACCAAGGTGAGTGTGCAGTGCCCAGTGGACCCATCTTTTCCTTTTCTACCTCCATTCCTTCTCCTCACATCTTTAGCCCTCCAGCTCCTCCTCCTCACATCTTGAGTCTTGTCACTTCTTTCTGCAGGGCATAGGGCGGAAGGTGATGGAGCGGCAGGGCTGGGCTGAAGGCCAGGGTCTGGGCAGCAGATGCTCAGGGGTGCCTGAGGCCCTGGACGGTGACGGTCAGCACCCCAGGTGCAAGCGTGGATTGGGGTGAGTGTGGCCATATGCCCTGGCTTCCTTCTTTCCCTTGGTTTTAAGGTGGGTGCTATCTACTTCTAGGAGATACCCTTAAAACAGAAGTACGTGGCATGGTGGTTGAGGCGCTAGACTCCCACATGGCCAATGTGGTACAAGCCCTGGACTCGGCAGCTTGAAAATCATGCCAGGCGTGTGTGCCTGTGTGCCCCCAAATCCCTAGAGAATGGAGAAGGAATTGCCGTGTGGCCATTCCCCTGGGGGGGTGGCTCTCACTTTCCTGCTGTTTCCCTCTGATGAGTGCATGCCTCCTATGGCAAAAAAACCTAAAACAAAAAACAGAAAAAGAAAACTTGAATCTGTCTGAATTATTATTTAAGACTTAGCCCTGAGGCATTACAGGATCACTGATCCTCTGGGAGTCATTCTCCCATCTGAGGAGTTTGGACTTGGCTGTTGACAGTAAGGAGTTTGTAGTGACAAGACGAGGCACCTGGTTGCTGGCACTGTCCAGCAGAGTCATGAGGTCGGGAGAGCAAAGATCTGGATTTAAAGCCTCTAGAACAAATCAGATAGGTAGTAGCTACTTCCCTGTCCTTTACCCACTGCATTACTGGAATCAGAAGAGCCCTCTCATTAAGAGCCCTTTTTGATCTAGGTACCATGGAGAGAAGCTGCAGCCATTCGGACAACTGAAGAAGCCGCGCGGAACCGGCGTGGGGCTCATCTCCACCATCTATGACGGGCCTCTACCCCAGGACCAGAGCGAGTCGCTGCTGCGCCGCCAGCCGCCCACCGGCATGAAGTTTCGGACAGACTCGGCCTTCGTGAGGGCCTCCAGTGTGCCCTGGACAGCCTGAGGCCGAGTGATGGGTTGGGCCGCGTCACTGCTGGCTGCACACACGCAGCCCTCCACCCCTGCCTCTGCCACAGGGCAGGGCAGAAGGGAGTCGGGACAGCCCTCCTTGAGGCCTGCCCAGGTGCTTGGCTCTGCGCTCACCTGCCCGTCTTACAAACCCCCTTCGCTCCCCGTGGATATTGAGCTTTGTGGCGTCTCCTCCCCGTTGCCTCCGAAATACACGGAAAAGCCGGGCTGACCGAGGCTATCAGCACGCCCTTACTGGGTGGCCATGAAGGAAGGGGGTCGCCGTGAAGGCCAGAGAGAAGGAAAGACGCGGAAGAGAGCAGAGGCGGCCGTGGCGCGG